GGTTGCAGGCTCGATCCCTGGCCCCAGTTGAGGCACATGTGGGAGGCAACCAATCGATGTGTCTCTCTCACATTGATGTTTCTCTCTCTCTTTCTCTTCCACTCTCTCTGAAAAGCAATAGAAAAAATATCCTTGGGTGACAATTAAAAAAAAAAGAAGAAAAGAGGCTAAAAAGAAGGAAAAGGGAATAGAAGAGACAAACAAATAGCAGGAGGGTAGGGGTAAACCAAACTATGTCAGTAATTACATGAAATAATCACCCTATGCAAAAGGCAGTGGTTGCCAGACTGGCTAAGGCAACACTCAGACATATCCTGTTTACAAGTGATGTCCTGTGTAAAGACACAGAGAAGTTTAAAGTTAAGAAAATGGAAAAATACACTATGCAAACAAATAATCACAAGGAAGCTGGTGTGGCTATATTAACATCAAAGTCAGAACAAGTAATACTGGAGGTTAAGAAGAGCATTTCACAATAATAAGAGGGTCAATTCTGCAGAAAGACTGAATGATCTAAATGTTCATGTACATCATAACAGTTTCAAAATAAAGAAAAAAATTTTTCAGAACTAAAGCAAGAAACAGTTAAATCCATAATCATAGTCAGAAATGTCAACAATTCCCTCTCAGGGGCTGATAGAAAAGAAAGAAAATATAGATTAAAATATCAGTAATAAGAATGGGAGCATCATTATAGATCCTGTAGACATTAAATGGGTGATAATGAAATATCAAATTTATACCAATAAATTCAATAACTTAAAGGAAATGGACAAACTTCTTGAGAGGCACAAATTATCTGCCCCTTAGGTAGAACCCCCAGGGTGACTTACCCCAAGTCCATGTGATTTGTTTCTAGTTCCTGTGCAGTCGCCCTTGCTAGTTAGCTGCACTCATCTTGGGCAACCCAGTTTCCTTTCCATCCTCAGTTTCCCTGGTTTGTCGACAGCAGAGGAGCCAGGGGGTCTCTACCACTTTTCCTTTCCTCTACTTCCCACTCAGGGGTGTCCAAAAGGTGATGAATCTGATAGACAAGGGGGTGCTGCCTCAGGATTACAGCCCCCCAAAAAACATCCTGCTCCTGCCTCCCCTGGACTACCTAAACTGGATCGAAAACCTCCCTCAGCACTTCAAGTACCAGGTCATGCTCTTCTCCCCATCATGCAGCATCGAGGCACAGGATGAAAAGGTGTGTTTGTGGGGGCAGGGGGTGCATCCCGAAGGCCCCAGAGGATCCCGGGAAATGTATTTCTCAGGAGCCTCCTGGGCCACCCAAGCGTCTTCTGAGGCAGGTAACAGTTATAATCACATTTCCACCCCCATTTTGTGTGTACCAGGACCTGGGCTAAGTTGTCACTCTACTTGAACTCTCACACTGACCCTAGGGCCCCTATTTGCTAGAGAAGGAAACTGAGGCCCCAAGAGGTGAAGCTCACACAGCTTATGAAACCAAGAAGGGCAAACACTCAGTGCTCTGCCACTCACTCATCACTTGGTGCCTCCTTCCTCTGCCCGAGACAGACATTGCTAATCGATCATCACACCATTTCCCCCCATCCGGACCCAACACTACCTCAGAGCCCTTCTCCCCCACAGTTCATGCAGGGCCCTGGCCTGGCATTCGTGGCCTTCTCCCAAGCCGTCTCGTTGCTCCCCTGTGCCTCTTTCTGGGCCATTGTCTTCTTCCTGACCCTTCTCATCACAGAGCTGAGCACCTTGATAAAAATCGTGGAAAGCATTGTCTTTCCCCTCCAGAATTCCATCTCCATCACCAGGAACCACCCCATACTGCTCCCAGGTACTGTGGGTTCTCACTCCAGCACAAACCCTGCCCTGCTGCTTTTCCCTCCCCAGGCTGCCCCAATCTCCAGGGCTTGCTTTGACCCCTGACCCAGCCCTACATATTGACCTCAGTGTGGCCAAACCTGCTTTTGCCTTAGTGGTCGTCTGCTTGGGAGGTTTTCTGGGCAGCCTCGTCTTTGCCAGTCATTCCGGAAGCTACATAATGTCTTTCTTTGATGATCACCTGGTCCCACTGACCCTTTTCATCGTTGTGGCCTTCAAGAATGTGACCCTGGCCTGGGTCTATGGAGTTAACAGGTGATGTCCAATCCCCGAGGCCTTCCCAGCCAGGGGCCCCATCCCAGGTCTCTGAGGAGAGTTGGGGCACAATCTGAGAGCATAGGAGTGCAGGAGGCAGTGATCTGAGGGCAGCTGAGTGGGTTCTGAGGGAACAAGAAATCAGGACCTAGGGGACTCAGGTTCCCCTGCCTTCAGGTTCCCCTGAAGGCAGAGAACTGGAGTGGTGCATGCTCCCTGGATTGGGGGATACCTATGGGGAGACCAGATGTAGGGCCGAGGCTCAGGAAGGGCTTGGCAGGACGCAGTATCCCCTAAAAGTTGAGAACTTTTGAGAGAATCAGAGAGCTGGTGGGCCTATCTTCCCAAGGGCTCCAGGCCCTGGTGGCCAGAGGAGGGCTCCACCCCGATGTCCATGGCCATCGCTCCCACCCCAGGTTCAGGGAAGAAATGTACGGTGAGCTGGGCCTCTTGATGTCGTCATCCTTCACCTTCCTGTGGTGCTATGTGACCCTGCCCGGGCTGCTGACACTCATTGTCATCTACCTCATACAACTCTACCATAAGGAGCCCCCCAACTACATTGCCTGGAACAGCAGCTCGGTGAGACTCCCCAACCCTGACCTCCCACTTCCACTTTGGGGACCCTTTGTCAGATCTCCTGCCCCACAAGACCATAGATCTGTGCTCTTACTGTCCCCAGGGACCATCTAGCCAACTTCTCAGCCCTGGGGGAATCTGATCCTCCACATTACATGGACTAAAACCCCACCACCACCTCTTTCTCCTCCCCGAACCTTCCCTCTGCCTCTAGAGCCAGGAAGTAGAACAACCCTACCTGCCGAGCACCCTGGGCTGGGTCACCTTCCTCAGCATCATCACCTTTCTACCAATCCCAATCTACCCACTCCACCAGTGGTGGTACCTCCAAGACCACATTGTCAATGATCCCTTTAAAAAGCTGTCCAAAAAGACACCCCTGGTGCCCACCAAGCCCTCAGAGTGGCCTAAGTACCACTTGGCGAAGCCCAACTTCCTGTCCCAGGAGAGAAAGAGCGAGAACTCAGCGAAGAGCTCCAGCTCACCCTTGGTCAAGATGTCCAACCCGGCCTCCACGTGGAGTCAGCACAGCCAGAGCTCTTTGGGGTTCAGCCTATCTTTCATTTCCTCCCTAACATCAGCCTTCTCCATAAGGAGTCTCACCCTACCCGTTTCGAGGCAGGTGAGCCCGGCCTCAACAACCATAAACAGTGACATTCAGGAGGAGACCAAGGGAGAAAATCTACACAAGTCTGATCAGTAACTGGTGACTCCACCGATTCTTCCAAGGAAAAAAATGTGTCCTAACTGGCGGCATTGGTGCCCATTTTTCTACAGGAATCGTTGGTTCTGACAGAAAGGAAGGGGTGGGGGGGG